GACGTACAAAGCTGTCCATAACTCTGCCCCAAACTACATCACCGACATAATATCCAAATACCACCCAAAACGCACTCTCCACTCTTCACATGCCCACCTCCAGGACTTCTCCAGGGCATCACCCATCCTATGGAACTCCCTACCCCAATCCATCAGACTATCACCTACTCTCCTCTCCTTTAGGTGCACCCTGAAAACCCACCTCTTCAGGGAAGCCTACCCCGCCCTCTGCTAATTGCTGATCTCCTCCACTCTTCCTACCACTCCATCCCCCACAGCTATTCCTCCCGTACTACTATCCCCTCCCTCTTAGATTGTAAACTCCAAGGAGCAGGGCCCTCAAACCCCTCGTGTATCCCATTGTATTGTTATTGCACTGTCTCATGTATTGTCTCTCATTGTAATGTACAGCGCTGAGCGAACTGTTGGTGCTATATATATATATACTGTATAATAATAATAATAATAATAATAATAATAATTGTAAAGCCTTTAAGGTTTTTTGCCTTAATGCATTCTCTGCATTAAGGTAAAAAACCTTCTGTACCTGGGAGCATCTCAGCAGTAATGCTTGTCTCTAGCATGCTCTCTCCCTCATGCTCAGGGAGAGCGCCACACTTAAACCATCACCTGTTTCAAAATTTTGGAGGGAAGCACTAGTGACCAGGGATTCCACCCACTCTTTCCTTGGCAAAACTCCAGAGCCCTAATTTCCAAAAAATTGTAGCAAAAAATTAGATCACCTTGGGGTGTCTACTTTCCAAAAAGAGGTTATTTTGGGGAGGTTTTGTACTATTATGAAATTTTAACATAACCACTTGCCCTCCAGATTTACCCCCCTTTATGACCAGGCCATTCATTGCGTTAAGGCGCTGCGTTACTTTAACTGACAATTGTGCGGTCATGCAACGCTGCACCCAAATTAAATTTACATTCTTTTTTTTTCCCACAAAAAGATCTTTCTTTCAGCGGTATTTGATCACTTCTGTGTTTTTAATTTTTTGCGCTATAAAAAAAGAAAGTCCAACAATTTTGAAAAAAACACTCTTTATGACTTTTGCTATTAAACATGTCCAGTAAAAGAATTAAAAAAATCTAATTTAGTCATAAATTTAGGCCAAAATGTATTCTGCTACATGTCTTTGCTAAAAAAAAAAAAATCCCAATACGTGTAAATTAATTTGTTTACGTGCAAGTTATAACGTTTACAAATGGCAGTATATATACTGGGCTTTTTTTTACTAGTAATGATGGCGATCAGCGACTTATAGCGGTACTGCGCTGGGCATTCTGACACTAGGGGGAACTGACTTGATGTCACTAACATCCCCAGTGACACCAATACAGTAGTCAGTGCTAATAAAAAGCACTGACACTGTACTAATGGCACTGGGCATGAAGGGGTTTACATGTGGGTTGATCAAAGGGTTAACTGTGTGCTGTTTTACTGTAAGTTGTGGGCTTTCAACAGTAAACACACTGCTTTGTATGGCTCTGTTATGCAGAGCCATACAAAGCAGTGTGCAGGAGCTGACAGGGGAGAGAACTGTATTGTGTACATACAGTTCTCACCCTCCCGTTGGTAATGCTCGGCGATCATCAGCTGCCGGTGAGTAATCATCGGCTGGGACCCGGTGATTGATAGCCGAGGCCGCGAATAGCAGCATGGGTAGGGCACGTGCCCCCTACCTGGAAAAATGAAAAATCACGTATATATACGTGATTTTGTGCACCCCTGCTGCCCTGTAGCAGTGTATCTGCTATAGGATGGCGGGAAAGTGGTTAAACAAAAAAATAAGGGAAACAGTTTTGTTTTTTTTCAAAATGATTGTCATTTTTGCTTTTATAGTAAAAAGATAAAAAACCTAGTGGTTACAGTGGCATCACTATGGGGGTGTGTGGGGTGGAGACCTCACCTGGGTGACACAAGCCAGAGGGGTGACACCATCAAAAGGGGGACAGCTCAGCCCATACACACAAAGGGGGCCCCCTACACACGAAGGGGGCCATACACATGAAGAAGCTGCCCACTCTGCTGTATCTTCTTTCAGTAACGAGGGGAGGGGGTGACTTAGCTCAATGGATATGCTCCTCCTGAGCCTCCTCTCACCTGCAGATTCCTTTGTTTGGCCGGAAGGGGATAGGGCATCAGTCAGTGGTAACGGCAGTGGTAGAGCATGGTTCAGTCAAACTGAGGCCAGAAGACTAGAGAAAGATGGAGAGGAGAGCGGAATAGTAGTATGTGCCTGAGGGATCTTTTGCGGACCATCATGCCAATTGACTATAGGTGCTAGTATTGCTGCTGCACAATTCCTTTCCTATAATTATGAGCTGTGCTGACATTCCTGTAGACTGGGATCATAGAGATGCTGAGGGGCTACAAGCTGGGAAGTGGGTCTGTGCTGCCAGGCTGTCTGTGACAGTCTATCTGCTGGATTGGGCTGACTCTTTGCTGAATATATGGGGATGTCTCTTTCCTGGATTAGGATGTCTCTTTGGTGGATTGGGTTGTCTCTTTGCTGAATACTTGAGGGTGTCTCTTTGCTGAATTTGTGCTGTCTCTTTGCTGAATATTTAAGAATGTCTCTTGGCTGGACTGGGTCATCTCTTCACTGGATTGGGCTGTCTCTTTGCTGAATATATGGGAATATCTATTTGCTGGATTGTGCCATTTTATTGCTAAATATATTGGGATGCCTCTTTGCTGGATTGGGCTGCCTCTTTGCTGAACATATGGGGATGTCTCTTTGCTAGATTTGGATGTCTCTTTGCTGGACCTGGATGTCTCTTTGTTGGATTAGGTCATCTCTTTGTTGAATATTTAAGGATATCTCTTTGCAGAATTGGGATGTCTCTTTGCTGAATATTTTAGGCTGTCTCTTTGCTGAATATATGGGAATGCCTCTTTACTGAATCGGGCCATCTCGTTGCTGAATATTTGAGGATGTCTATTTGCTGGATTGGGCCGTCTTGTTGCTAAATATATGGGGATGTCTCTTTGCTGCATATATGGGGATGTCTCTTTGCTGGATTGGGAAGTCTCTTCACTGAATATTTTAGGCTCTTTGCTGAATATATGGGAATGTCTCTTTGATGGATTTGGCCATCTCGTTGCTGAATATTTGGGGATGTCTATTTGTTAGATTGGGCCGTCTCTTCGCTGAATATATTTGGATGTCTCTTTGCAGAATATATGGGTATGTCTCTTTACTGAATCGGGCCATCTCGTTGCTGAATATTTGAGGATGTCTATTTGCTGGATTGGGCCGTCGTGTTGCTAAATATATGGGGATGTCTCTTTGTACATATATGGGGATGTCTCTTTGCTGGATTGGGAAGTCTCTTCACTGAATATTTTAGGCTCTTTGCTGAATATATGGGAATGTCTCTTTGATGGATTTGGCCATCTCGTTGCTGAATATTTGGGGATGTCTATTTGTTAGATTGGGCCATCTCTTTGCTGAATATATTTGGATGTCTCTTTGCAGAATATATGGGGATGTCTCTTTGCTGGATTGGGCTGGCCCTTTTTTCGGATTGGGCAATCTTTGTTGGATTGGGTCATCTTTTTGCCGAATATGTTTGGATGGGTGTTTGCTGAATATATAAGGATGTCTCTTTGCTGGATGGGGATGTCTCTTTTTTGGATTAGGCCATCTCTTTGCTGGATGGGGATGTCTGTTTGCTGGATTGAGCCATCTCTTTGCTGGATTGGGATGTCTCTTCACTGAATATTTTAGAATGTCTCTTTGTTGTATTAGGTAGTCTCTTTGCTAGATTGGGTCATCTATTTGCTAAATTGGGTTCTTTGCTGGATTGGGATGTCTCTTTGCTAAATATTTTGGGATGTCTCTTTGCTGGATTGGGTCATCTCTGCAGAATTTATTGGGATATCTCTTTGCTGAATAGATTGGGATGTCTCTTTGCTGGATAGGCCATCTCTTTGTTGTATCGGGCCATCTCTTTGGTGGATCGGGCTGTCTCTTTCCTTGATTGGGCTGTCTCTTTGCTGACTATATGGGGATGTCTCTTTTCTAGATTGGGTTGTCTCTCTGCTTTATTGGGCTCTTTGCTGGATTGGGATGTCTCTGTGTTGGATTAGGTAGTCTCCTTGCTGAATATTTGGGGATGTCTCTTTGTTGGATTGCATCATATATTTGCTACATTGGGATGTCTCTTTGCTGGATTGGGTCATCTCTGCAGAATTTATTGGGATATCTCTTTGCTAAATATATGGGGATGTCTCTTTGATGGATTGTGCTTTTTCCTAGATTGGGATGTTTATTTGCTGAATATATGGGAATGTGTCCTTGCTGGATTAGGCCATCTATTTGCTGAATATTTGGGTCTGTCTCTTTACTGGATTGGGCTCCTTGCTGAATATATGGGGATGTCTCTTAGCTGGATTGAAATGTCTCTTTACTGGATTGAGATGTCTCCTTACTGGATTGGGCCCTCTATTTGCTGAATATATTGGGATGACTGCTGATATATGGGGATGTCTCTTTACTGAATTGGACCCTCTATTTGATGAATATATAGGGATGACTCTTTGCTGAATATATGGGGCTGCTCTTTGGCCAAAATAGAATTCCTTACTTTTAAATCTTGAAAGCACTGATGACTTGGAAAACATTTTTAACCACTTGCCTACCGGGCACTTGCGCGGTTATGCAAGATTGTACCCATATGAAATTTATATAATTTTTTTCTCACAAATAGAGCTTTCTTTTGGTGGTATTTAATCGCCATTGGGTGTTTTACTTTTTGCGCTATAAACAAAAAAAGTGCCAAAAATGTGGAAAAAAAAAAAAGTTTCTTTGTTTCTATTATAAAATTTTGCAAGCAGGTAATTTTTCTCCTTCACTGATGTGCATTGATGAGGCAGCACTGATGGGCACTGATAGGCAGCACTGATGGGCAGCACTGAAGGGCACTGATAGGCAGCACTAATGAGGTGGCATGGATAGGCGGCACTGATGATGGGTACTGATAGACAGCACTGATAGGTGGCACTGACTAGCACAACCGCTGGGCACTGACTGGTGGCACTGCTGGGCTGCACTGATGGGCACTGGTGGGTGGCACTGGTGGGCACAGGCGGGTAGCACTGCTGGGCACAGGTAGGTGGCACTTCTGGGTGGCACAGGTGTGTGACACTGCTGGGTGGCACTGCTGGGCACAGGTGAGTGCACTGCTGGGCACAAGTGGGCGGAACTGGTCGGTGCCAATCCCTGCTCTAACAACTGCTGGTTCTCAGCAGTACTTTCCTCACGATCTGACAGCGTGCAATTGCATTTCCCTGTCATCAGCGTGTCACTGGACACGGCTGATCACGTGGTAAAAGTCCGCTGTGATTGGTCTTTTACCACATCACGTTATCAGCTGTGTCCATAGGACACAGCGATCATGGAGATCGCCGGGTGCGTGCCCCCGGGGGCGTGCAGGAGAGCGCGTTCTGGGAGGACATCATATGACGCCCTCCCAGAACTGGCCGGCCACAGTGTAGCCATCATTCAGCTATCTGCGGTCGGCAACTGGTTAATTTTCATATATGAAGTTGTAAGAGTGTTAAAATAAAAGTGGGTGCACTGAAGGACTCAGTGGCAGATTTGGTGGAATGGTCAGTGAGAAGGCTAGTAGGAGGGCCCTGGGGAATGTTGGTGGTCAGGCCTGGGGGGGGGCTATTTCTGATAGCTGCCCTGGACACCATCGATCCCGAAACTAGCCTGCCCTGCAGGGCATTGTGGCAGGCTACACAGGAAAGAGCCCAATGTGTTAGCCTGCCCAATGTCTACTGCTCTGTCACTCTGCAGAGGCAGGATAGAGCACTGTGGCAGGCTGGGGGGGAGAGCTGTGCCGATGGGGTGGTGTAGTAAAACATGTTTACACCATGTTTTACCACAGCAGATGACACCCAACCCTAGTGACACCACTGAGTGGTTATAATTACCACCAAAAGAAAGCTCTATCATTCTCAAAAATATCTATGAAATTAATTTGGGTACATTGTTGCAAGATGGAGTAATTGTTAGATAAACTTTTAGAGCACTGAAAAATGGCTTGGTAAAGAAAAGGGGTATTACAGGCTGATATAACAAATGGTTTGTTAAAATACTCTTGGGGTTGTGTTAAATCATTCATCAGAACATCTTAACGATCCTTGTGCATCTTAATATGTGGAACAACTCTTTTGCCAAAGGTTTGGACAGTAGCATAATCTATAACCTCAAGAATATACTGGTACATTTTAGTAGACTTTCCCACAAGTCCCAGTAGCTTATTACTATACATTCAAAAGGGACCTTTATTACAGCCAATAGAACCAATGTTCTGTAATATTGGGCCACAAGGGATAATATTTGCCAGTCAGATTATGACTTGCAATGCTTCCACCCTTTTCTTTTTTTTTTTTTTTGCATGATACACTGCTAGGCTGTGATCACCGACCTACTACAAGCAACACCCTTCACCTTGTTTTTTCCTGCCTCTGCACTCCTTTGGTTTGCAATCAGATGAGCAAAAAATCTCATCCATGTTTTTGAGTTAGCATGGGGTAAAATTATGTTCCTGCAAGAATTTGCCCTGTATAAAGCTGCCCTCCTAAAAAATTTCCTTCATTCCTTCATGGTACTATTTCACTCTCATTACCACCTTATCATCCAGTCCCCGTCAGCTCTTTTCTACCTTTACTTCATCCTTTACTCCACTAACTCTTACACTGCCCAGGACATTGCCAGCCCTTTAACGAACAAAAACAGAATACAAATTGTTACAAGATCACCACTGTCCAAGCATCTCCACCAATTAATATACTATCTCTACTACCATTCAACACTTTCCTCTTTAGACCTTGTCACGCCCAGCACACCACCTGGCCATTAGGCCCTATTCCCACACAACTACTCTAATCACTCTCTTGCTTTATTCTATACTCTTTTTACTCTCTATTGTCATTTTCTCCTTCTTTCTAAAACATGCACCTTTCACCCCCCCTCCCATACCTAAAAAGCCCTCATTTGACCACAACAGTATGATCCATTTAAGACCCATCTCAAGCTCCCATTTACCTCCAAACTGTAGTTTAGAGAGAATACAACCATCTCAGCTGCTACCTCATTAATAACCAAGCATTCAGCCCCTTACAGATTGGCTTTTGCCCACAACACACCCCAGAAACTGGTCTTCTAAACTTCACTAACTGTTAATCCAATGGCCACTTCTCAAGATCAATAACACAACTATCAGTCCCTTTCCTCATGCCAGGGTCCAAGTGTAATCCTGGACTCTGACCTCTCCTTTTAGTATGCATCCAATCACTGTCCAAATCTTGCCACCTTCACCTATATAACATTCCTAGAGGGCACCCCTACCTAACCAACTACCCCACCAAGCTACTAATCCAATCACTTGATATCTCTCACCCTGACTAATGAAACCCATCCTCATTGGCCTACATTTACACAGGGCTATCCCCCCTTCAGTCTGTCATGAATGCTGCTTCCAAACTCACCCACCTTACCTAAATGTGCAGTGTCTTCTACCCTTCTCTGCCAATCCCTTCATTGGCTTCCGATCACCCAACAAATACACATCAAAATATTAATAATGACTTACAAAGCTATCCACAATTCTGCTCCCAGCTACCTCATTAACCCCGGAGCTCCTGATCTTTAGCTCTTTTCATGCCCCTCCTTCCATGCTCACCTTCAGGACTTCAAGACGATCCCAGTGCTGCCAGGTGGAAATGTTACCCACATAGCCACTGTGCAATAATAACAATATTAATATAGGATTTGGGCACAAATAATTGTCTTGGATTTTGCCAACACCTTGTTCAGAGCATTATGAGGAAATACATTTTCAGGATTTGGTACCTGTGGCTTTCTGTTTATTACCTTCACATTCTCTGATGCTTTTAAGACGGGGATCTCATAACTGGTTGGTTCCAACATAGTCTAGCTCCACCACTGCAAGCATCATAGAGGTCTCTGTGGATACTTTATGTTAGCTGCTTACACTGCTAGGGGATATGCTCATTTTCATTTGTGATCACCCCTACAGCATTTACAATATAGCTATACTTAAATTAATTAGGCCATTCTCAGCTGGGCATACAGGATTTTTGTGCCCATTTCTAAAGTCATAAAATACAGGAATGTCTCCCCCCAGGGTTTCTGAAGTAATGGAGTCATTTTTACTATATCCATGCATATAGAGCATTCAAGTCTGATGTTGGTTTAGTTTATCTGGGACCACCAGACTGGCATGGAGAAATGTTTCAAGAGTTTCATAACGTAGGAGGGCATGAGTAAATCTATATCCATATTACCTACTGAGCATGCAAACAACGACATCCATCTTGTAGTATGAGATTACATAGTGTCCAGGGACATAAGGCATCTGGTGGCAGTATTTCTCCATTCATTATACAGCAGTGTATTTCCACCTGTTTCTCCCCAGGGCCTTCCAGTTTGGGTTCATGCTGAGGCCAGTCTACTTATTTCTGTATCAGCTTCTTCTTAGACTTAATTTTCACAGAGAAACACTTTACCATTTGCAATGGGAGATTACATATTTTAAGCCAGGGTTTATGGAGCTGACAGCTATCCAAGCATGTCTATCGATGATATGCAATGCTTAGCCACTTCAAGGAAGTAGACTCAACTCCAAGTTCTCCTGGATCACCCACATCCACAGGGTTAGAGAAAGGGCCATCAGAAAGAGATTCTTTACCAGGTGGACAAAGTCACGAGGGTTACTTTTTCAGCTGGTACATCCATCATATATGTTGGGCCCGCACAGAAGTCACAATCCTCAGACACTAAGGGGTTTATTTACTAAAGCTGGAGAGTCCAAAATCAGACTCCCTTCTGCATAGAAACCAATCAGCTTCTAACCTCAGCTTGTTCAATGAAGCTTTGGCAATGAAACCTGGAAGCTGATTGGTTTCTATGCAGAAGGGAGTCTGATTTTGGACTCTCCAGCTTTAGTAAATAAACCCCTAAATAGATGTATTGTAAGTCCTCCTGCGCTTCTATGGACCACCCTCCCCTTTCCCTAGTTTACAGCTGCTTACACTCCTACTGATATACTGATACCAAACAACAGTGCTCAAATAAATATTAAAATAGTGTAGCCTAAATAACATAATCAAAGCAATCTATATAAAAGTGATAAATTAAATGTATTGACCTTGTGGGAAATCTCACAGTGCCTAAAGTATTCTAAGTGCTCATCACACGTGTTACTAAACCCATGAATAATAAGCCACATATATCATAATAGTGCTATATAAAACCATTAAACATAATTTTGTGTTAGTGCCACTTCAAATAAATATATAACATGTGATTGTGCCAAATCACTAGAAATAAATATATCGTCCAATGTCCAAAAAACCAATATAAAACAGTATAATCCAAGTGATGCTTAGATGCACATGCAGTGTGTTATCATAGTGTCACTCGTGAAAAACACACTCTTCCACTTTGGTGCAATGCCTCCTCACCTCCTTTCAGCGGACCCTAGGGGCCAACAAGCCTCTAGGATCACCTTGGATCCTCAACCCTCCTGGATGGTACCTCTCAGGCTATCCTCCTGTTTGGCCTCCTCCACACCTTAACGCCTTATGGAGTCCTCTACCACGATCCTCTGTGAATTCTCACTCTCACAATAGGGGAGTTCAAAAAAGAGATCCTCCATAGTGTAGTAGTTTTCAAATCCAGCATTTATTTATAAGGCAAATAAGAAGTCACTCACATTTGTGTACAGCGTTTTTCTTCTCCCCCTGCATGGGTAGACTGCACTCATGTGTAACTCTTGGAAAATGGCGTACCTCCTAATATGTATAAAATTAGATCTGAGTCTCTATAGCGGTACCCAGATGAAGTCACGAGGTACGTGACGTAACGCGTAGGCACGCAGGAGACGCAGCTTGTTTCCGGAGTCCGGAGTGACGCACTTCTGGTACGGGACGCCATTTTTCCAAGAGTTACACATGAGTGCAGTCTACCCATGCAGGGGAGAAGAAAAACACACTGCATGTGCATCTAAGCATCACTTGGATTATACTGTTTTATATTGGTTTTTTGGACATTGGACGATATATTAATTTCTAGTGATTTGGCACGATCACATGTTATATATTTATTTGAAGTGGCACTAACACAAAATTATGTTTAATGGTTTTATATAGCACTATTATGATATATGTGGCTTATTATTCATGGGTTTAGTAACACGTGTGATGAGCACTTAGAATACTTTAGGCACTGTGAGATTTCCCACAAGGTCAAAACCCCTAAATAACTTTGAATTTCTTGGAAGTATCC